AGTTGCAAAACTTAAAACTTTAGGGATGCAAGTTGATGAAACTTTCCTCGTGCAATTTATTCTCAACTCACTTCCATCACAGTTCGGTGCATTCAAAATTCACTATAACACCAATAAAGATAAGTGGAGTTTGAATGAGCTGACTAATATGTGTGTTCAGGAGGAAGTGAGGTTGAGGGAGGAAGGACGTCAAACTGCATTAGCTGTAACTCATGGAGCTATAAAGAAAAAGATGGTTAAGTTTGTAAAATCAAAGAAAAATCCACTAAAGAGAATGAATGAACCTGGGGAAAGAAAATCAGGCTCAAAATGATTTCACTGTCAAGTGCTACTTTTGTGGTAAGAAGGGACATGTAAAGAAAAACTGCAGCAAGCGAAAGGCTTGGTTCAAAAAGAAATATAAGAAATTTTCTTTTGTTTGTTATGAATCAAACCTTGCTGAAGTACCTTCTAAAATGTGGTGGATTGACTCTGGGGCCATGACCCACATTACAAATGACATGCACGGATACCTCTCAACCAGGAAACTGAAGGAAAGTGAAAGATTTGTTTATATAGGGAACCGTCTCAAAGCTGAAGTCGTAGCTGTAGGAACCTATCGACTGATCTTAGAGACAGGTCATCAGATGAATCTAGAAGACACTTGTTATGTTCCTTCAATTTCTAGGAATTTAGTTTCGTTATCCAAATTAGATCGTGTTGGATATTCAGTTTTATTTAATTGTGGAAAGCTCAATTTAATTTTTTTGGTTCTGGTAATTTATGTGATGGTTTATATAAAATTACCTTAAATTATGAGTTTACACAATCATTAGTAACTCTGCATTCGAATATTGGTTTAAAACGTGGTCTAATTAAATGAAAAATCCTCAATCTTGTGGCATAGACGGTTGGGGCATATCTCTAGAAATATAATTGAAAAATTGAAGAATGGGATTTTGGAAAACCTAGACTTCACTGATTTTCAGATATGCATGGATTGCATTAAAGGAAAGCAAACCAAACACACCAAGAAAGGTGCCACAAGAAGTAATGAGCTTCTTGAGATAATTCATACAGATATTTGCGGGTCACTCAACATCCCATGTCTTAGTGGTGAAAAATATTTTATCACATTTATAGATGACTTCTCACGTTATGGATATGTGTATCTAATTCATGAAAAGTCTCAGGCTGTTCACATCCTTGAGGTATACATAACTGAAGTCGAGAGACAATTAGATAGAAAGGTTAAAATAGTGAGATCAGACAGGGGTGGTGAATATTATGGTAAATATGATGAGTCAGGCCAAAATCCTGGCCCATTTGCCAAATTCTTAGAAAAGAAAGGCATTTGTGCTCAATATATAATGCCTGGTACGCCACAGCAGAATGGAGTTGCTGAAAGGCGTAATCGTACACTTAAAGATATGGTTAGGAGTATGTTAAGTTACTCAACTGTACCTATTTCAATGTAGGGTGAAGCTTTAAAAACTGCAATGTATATCTTAAATAGGGTTCCTAGTAAGGCGGTCCCAACAACTCCTTTTGAGTTGTGGACTGGTAGGAAACCTAGTTTGAGACACTTACATATTTGGGGTTGTCCAGCAGAAGCAAGAATCTTCAACCCACAAGAGAAAAAGTTGGACTCAAGAACAATATCTGGATATTTCATTGGTTATCCAGACAAGTCTAAAGGGTACAAATTTTATTGTCCTAATCACAGTACAAGGATAGTGGAGACTGGTAATGCTAGATTCCTAGAGAATGGTGAAATCAGTGGGAGTGAGAAAACACGAGTGGTGAATTTCGAGGAAATTAGGGTAGATGTGCCAACATTTGACCCTTATCGAAAAGTTGTTGTTCCTCAAACTATTCCACAGGCTGGGGAAAACGAACAACATGATGAAAATCCTTCACCACCTCATGTTTCACCACTTCATGAAGATACCACCATTGAAAATATTGTAGAACCACCACAACCGGCAGTTCTGAGAAGATCTCCGAGGGAAAGAAAGCCTGCCATTCCAGATGATTACATGGTGTATCTACAGGAATCTGATTTTGATATTGGCATTAACAAAGATCCAGTCTCATTTTCACAAGCCATGAATAGTGATGATTCTTCTAAATGGGTCAATGCTATAAATGAAGAGTTAAAATCCATGGAACAGAATAGTGTTTGGGATCTCGTCGAATTGCCTAATAATTGCAAAAAGGTCGGGTATAAATAGGTCTTCAAGACCAAACGTGACGCAAAAGGCAATATCGAACGATTTAAACCCAGATTTGTTGCCAAGGGTTTTACTCAAAAAGAAGGCATAGACTATACAGAGACCTTCTCTCCAATATCTAAGAAGGACTCGCTTAGAATCATCCTAGCATTGGTAGCTCATTATGACTTAGAGTTGCATCAAATGGATGTGAAAACTGCTTTTTTAAATGAGAATTTGGATGAATAAATTTATATGTAACAGCTAGAAGAATTTACAAAGAAAGGTAAAGAACATTTAGCTTGCAAATTAAAGAAATCCATATATGGCCTTAAACAAGCTTCTAGGCAATGGTGCTTAAGGTTTAATGATACCATTACCTCTTTCGAATTTAAGGAAAATGCAGTTGATTAGTGCATATATCTGAAGGTTAGTGGGAGCAAGTTCATTATGTTGGTGCTATATGTGGATGACATTTTGTTAGCTAGTAATGACCGTGGCTTATTGCATGAAACCAAGGAATATCTCTCCAAGAACTTTAAAATGGTCGATACGGGTGAGGCAAACTATGTTATTGGCATAGAGATCTTTAGGGATCAATCTCGAGGATTGCTAGGACAATCTCAAAAAGGATATATTGATCGTGTTTTGGAGAGATTCAATATGCAGTTTTGTTCAGTCGGTGATGCACCCATCACGAAGGGTGATAAATTAAGTGAAAAACAGTGTCCAAGGAATGACTTGAAAAGAAAATAAATGAAGGACATTCCATATGCTTTGAGGCTACAAATCATGCTTTATGGTTGCGGAATTTCATCTCAGGACTTGGTGTTGTTGACTCAATTGCCAGGCTGCTGAAGATATATTGTGACAATACAGCAGCAGTTTTCTTCTCTATGAATGGAAAGTACTCCAGTGATTCCAAACACATGGAAGTAAAGTACTTAGTTGTTAGAGAAAGAGTCCAGAAACAACAAGTGTTAATTGAAAACTTAAGCACCTCTCTTATGATTGCTGATCCATTCACAAAGGGATTGCCACCAAAGACATACAAAGAGTATGTTATCAGGATGGGTCTTTTAAGCAACCCTTGATGTGTATGGTTAATCATGAGTGCTTATTTTTTGACACTATTTGCGCAATAATAATTTTGTTTCTGTTTTTCCTGTTTCTAAAAGTGTGTGTACACATTATTTTGAATATTGATAAATAGGAAATGTCTTAACAAGACAAATTACAGGGGCCTTTCAGGCAAATAATTATATATCCCAATAAAGGACTGGGTTGGTGAAGGTTATCAATGGTGTGGTGCATAGAAGGAAATATGACATAAATGTTATATAACCGCTATGACTCACATTGGTGATCTGAAGTAATCACAGTATTATAGTTTCTAATATATCTGAACTTATTGGCTATTTTTTAGAATTCATGATCACGTGTCAAAGTTTTTAGTGTGGAATCCAACAAGTCAAAATTTTTTAAGTTGAATATTTTTGAAAAAACTCGTAATTGCATCATAATCGGCTTAATGGGCCAAGTGGGAGAATGTTGGATTTATTTTCTAGTGTGGCCCAATAGCCTACATATTTTCTACATGTTTTAATTTATTTGGACTCCACAAATAGATAAAGCCAATATTTGAGATCAAGTTCAGTAAATAGAATTTTAATATAATCACTCTTCTAAGATGAGAAGGAAACCTTGGTAGATTAGGAATTCTTCTGATAGAGTTTATTTGGCCCTCTTCTCTCCTCTATATAAGGATGGGTGACTCCCCTTTCATATCATGAGTATTTTCCCATCACTTTAAGTTTTATAGTCATCCTAATTAAGAGAGACAGAGAGAAGAAGGTGAGCCAAAATTAAAGGTTCAACTCTAAGGAGTATTTTCTCAACTTCTCTAATTCAATGGCTGACAAAGGTATATTCGTTTTATTCTTGAGTTGTATTGAATTCAAGATCCTGTAAACTTTAATTTCGCATTATTATTATGGTTACATGTATTATTAATACTTACAGATGTAACTAAACGTTAATTATGTAGTAGATCTAAAATATTTTTGCTTACATTTTTTTTATTATTTGAGATTTTCATGAGTTTAAATTTGTTTCTTTGCATATATGTAGTGAGTACACTAATTAAGTAGAACTAAGTTGTTAAATGATGAGTTTTTCTTTTGCAGTAAAATCCTCTTGGCAAAAAAACATTTGAAGCACAAATCCTTAATAAATATACAAATAAACTACTTTGTTTTCAACTCATAATACTCTTTATATATATATATATATATATATAACGAAAACAAATTATAGACAGGGTCATTTGGATCCATTCAAAGAACAAAAACTCAATATACATATTTTTTACTTGATTATTATTATAATCTATGATAATTTGCTGTTCTGTATGTGTATGCATGTTTTAATTACGTGATTTTTAAAGAAATTGATTTCAATGTTTTAGTTGTTGGTAAATTTTTGGTTTTTATCTGTTCTTTGTTATTGATTGTCGTTTGTGAAATTGGGTCCATGAATCTGATAGATTTGTGGCAATCTAGTTTTTGTTCTGATACAAACTTTACTGGGTAAAACCTGACGGATATCATTTTTAAAAAAACATGTGCATTGATTCAGTTGACTGTATTCTTCAACTTTGGTATTTTTGTTTATTTATCTTGTCTGGGTTCTCCTAAATTTAATTTAATTTATTATTTTTTTTTACTTCAATTTTGTTGAAATTTGATGGTAATTATATGGAATTGACACTATTCTTCATTCTGGGTTTTTCGTTTTACGGTTTTATTTTAGGCTTTATTATACAAAAGTTAAACTAGGGTCTCCACCAAAGGAATTCAATGTGCAGATTGATACTGGAAGTGACATCTTGTGGGTTACTTGCAATGCCTGCAATGATTGCCCCCAATCAAGTGGAATCGGTGTGAGTATTGATTTTTCTACTTAATGTAGTTTCTTTGATATGTTGAATTGTTAGACTGATACTCTTTTGTTTTTGCAGATTGAGCTCAATTTCTTTGACCCTGCTAGTTCGTCAACTGCGTCTCTGGTTTCTTGCTCTGACCCAATATGTGCTTCTGTAGTTCAAGCTGCAGCTGCAGTTTCTGAATGCTCTTCCCAGAGTAATCAGTGTGCTTATTCATTTCGGTATGGAGATGGAAGTGGGACATCTGGTTATTATTTAACTGATTTAATGTATTTTGACACAATTATGGGGGCTTCTTTGGTTGCTAACTCTTCCGCTCCTATTGTTTTTGGGTAAGTTGTTGATGTTATGACTTCTAATGATGGTGTATTTCTGTGTGGGATTGAAAATGATCATTAGATGAAGAGAGTAGATGGTCAGGAGAGTCAAAGCAGAAGCCTAACCATATTAATACATCCATGAAAACATGCAGTAAAACTAATCCAACATCATGTGCTTGAATGGCATTAAGTAAAACATGTTCTATGACCAAAAAAAAAAATTATTGGTGTTCATTCTCTTCAATTATTCTACATTGTTATGGTTACTGGTGAAAGAACGATGAGGATAGTAGAACTGAATGGGGATCAATGATAACTGGGAAAATAAGAATGAACTGATGAAAAGGTTAACTAAAGTATGGTTATTGAAGTAAGGGGGCTTAGTCAAGGTTTTAAAAAGCGGCCGCAACCATTACGTAATGCCGTTACGTAACGGTCGTGGTAGTTACCGCCACCCGTTACGGCCGCTTCTGTAGTGTGATTGAGATTCATAGGTGTATCGGCCGTAGCGGCTGCTATAGCGGTCGTAACGGTGCCGTAACGGCCTGTTATGCATCGTTACGCAAACTGTTTCTTTCGAAAAAATACACAAAAAAAAGCTGAAAATGGGGGAAGAGGGATAGAGAGAAGAGGGAAGATAAAGAGAGAAAATAGAGGAGCAAGAGAGAGAGAGAGAAGAGGGAAGATGAAGAACATGTTATTGATTTGTTGAAACTATAAGATCTATGCTATTCTATTCAGCTGCTATCACTAAACCATTTTGTTTGTTTGTGTCTATCTATATATTGTTTGAAAATAATAATAATAATAAGTGTGGTCATTATCTATTTGGCTTGGTTAAAATATGTATATATATATATTTATGCTCCTATTTATTCTCTTACTTTTGTCATTATTTATCTTATATATAATAGTTAGTGATTAATTTTTTGTAAAATATAAAGTCATTAATTATTAAAATAAAATGTAAAAAACTCAATTTATAGTAATTTAAAAATATGAAATATATTGGATCATACTTAAAAATTTATAAAAATTGATCAATATTTATTTTTAACCCAATAAATATAATTTTTTTCAAATTGTGTGAAAAATAAAAAAATTCACGGTTCCAGTTACCGCAACCGTTACGCTACGACCTTTACACCGTGCCACCGCCGCCGTTACAGTGACCGCAACCGCTTTTCAGAACCTTCGACTTAGTAGAATGTATCTTGTATCTGCAATAGCTCTTCAACATATTAGGAGTTGTATGTTAGTTTAAACTTTCAGCTTTTTATTCTATTGCAGTTGCTGTATCCCATGTTAATGTTCGTTTTTAGTTTTGTGGGGCTGCAACTTAAATTTTTTGGATGGCTGTTTTGGAAACAGGTGTAGCACCTATCAATCTGGGGACTTAACTAAGACTGATAGAGCAATTGATGGGATTATTGGGTTTGGTCAACAGGATCTGTCTGTCATATCACAACTGTCATCACGAGGGATTACTCCCAAGGTGTTCTCCCATTGCTTGAAGGGAGAGGGCAATGGTGGTGGTATACTAGTTCTTGGTGAGATTCTGGATCCAAGCATTGTCTATAGTCCCCTTGTCCCATCACAGTAAGTATTTTTTTCACCATTAAAAGCTTTCTTATTCTTTTTCTGGCACTCTTTCTATGGATATTGTGGTCATATGTGGCAATAAGAACTTTGAGTATACTGCACACAATGGTTTTGATTCCATTGAATCATAGCATTTTATATATTATTTATTTTCTAAAAAAGTGTGAAGATATTGTATTTTATATTAGTCATTTAGGGTAGTTTCGTCTATTAGATTATTAAGGTTTATTTCATTTAGGTTATATATATTGTACTCAGTGATTCATTCGATATATACGAAATAGATGTTCTTTGTTATCATGGTATCAGAGCGGGTTCTGAGTCAAACCTTTAGAAGCCCTTGAGTCAACATCTTCTTCCCTGTGATTGTCTGGTTCGACTGAAGGCTTCTAGCGACTAATAGTTCTCTCGCGAATGCCTCTGCCTGGCTTCGAGACCCGACTACCCTGTCTCGCGCCTGCTTTTTCTGTTCTACTTCATGATTTTCGTTCGTGGTTCTCTCATTAATTTCGGCTCCAAGTCTTCGATGTCGTTTGTGGTTCTCTCGTCAATTGCGACTGCTTGACTTTACTTTGATTTCTCTCTGGTCGTTCGTGGTTCTCTGGTCGCTAGGATTGGGACTCTCTCCTTCGCCCTTCCTCATCGTGATCTCTGGCTCACTGTATCTCTTTGACTGGTGCTACTCTCTCTCTTTTCTTCACACTTCGTCATCGTGGTCTCTGGTTCAGTGTGTATCTCTGTCTGGTACTATTCTTATTTGCACTGGGTTGTTTGATTATTGCAATATTGCTGATGATAAATTGCAAGCCATCACCACTAAGTTGGATGGGACAAATTATTCTTATTGGTCTCATGTAATGAAAAATTTTATCATGGGTAAAGGTATGTGGAACTATGTTATTAGTGTGACTACTCGACCATTGGAATCCAAAGAAATTGAGGCTGATGCTGCTAAATGGGATAAGAAAAATGTACAAATTCTTACTTGGTTTCATAATTCAGTTCAAACCACCATTGGTATGAATTTCTTCAAGTATTTTACTTCTAAATAAGTTTGGGACTATTTGAAAACTATGTACCTCGAGTCTAACTTTGCAAAACAGTGTAAACTTGAGATGTCTATTCGCAGTGCTAGTCAGAAAGATAAATCCATTTAGGAATTTTATAATGAGATGACTACTGATTGGGATCAGCTTGTTCTAATGGAACCATCAGATTTGCAGTTACTTGACAGTTATACCAAGTATCGGGAGAAGCAACGTCTTGTTCAGTTTCTTATGGCCCTTCGTGATCAGTTTGAGCCACTTCGGGACGCTATTTTTCATCGGTCCCCCTTGCCTTCTGTCGATGGTGCTGTCCGTGAGCTTATTGCGGAAGAAACTTGGTTCAAGGTGGCTCATGGTACTCCTCATTCCCAATCAGTTTTTGCCACTCCTCCGCTCTTGCCAACCCCACCATCTCCTTTATTTCAAGTTACTGGTAAGCCCAAGCCTCGGGTTTCTATGGATGAGTGCAACTTCTGTCATCAGAAAGGTAATTGGAAACATGCTTGTCCTAAGTTGGTGTAGCCCAAGGGCCGTTCACCTGGTCCACCATCCTCTAAGCTGACATCTTCGGGATCTCGCTCATCTGCCGCCTTTTCTGCGCCAGTTTCTAAGAATGATCTATCTTCCAATATGTAGTCTATGTTTGAGTCTATGATGCACGGACACGGACACGGACACGGGACATGGACACGGGAAAACGCAAAATTTCAAAAAATAGGGGACACGACACGCTGGGGATACATTCAATATATATACTTTTATTTATTTATTATATGTAAAATTAAAAAATATAAATATTATTTATTTATTTTGATATCAAATATTATTCACAAATTAAAATTTTCTTATAAATAAAAATAATTTATTTAAACAAATAATAATATCTAAAAAATAGAAAAAAGGAAAAGAAAAAAAAAAGAAAAAAAAGATGTTTATTCAAATATATATCTAGTATATAATATATATACTATTATTATTAGTATGCAAATATATATATGTATATATATTATTAGTATATAATGTATATAGCGATCGATGGTCAAACGAGGCGCCGAAACACCATAGCGAGTGAGAGAGAGAGAGAGAGAGCAGAGAGGGAGACGACATAGGCGAGGAAGACGACACAGACAAAACAAAGAAAGAAGAAGAAAAATGAAGAAAAGCAGAAGAAAAGAAGAAGATCGAATAAGAGATTTGAAGAATCGAAGAACATACCTGATCTAGGGCTCCATTTCGACAGGTTCTTCACCCTCTCTCTCTCTCTCTGTCTGCAACAGGGTAGGGTTTCTCTCCTTCTCTGTCCATAACGTATCCATAGCGTGTCCAACAGTGTCCAGACGAGTGTTCGGCTGCAAAAATTCAAAAAAAAAAAGGGACATGTTGGGTAGAGTGTCAGACACGTGTCCACCGCGTGTCAGACACGTGTCCACCGCGTGTCCGACACCCAAACGTTGCCTTAGGAGACGTGTCCGTGCTACATAGGTTTGAGCAGTTCAAGTCTTTCATGGTGGCCAATCCAACTCTTTCGTCCCAGGCTTCCGCTATGATTACCACTTAGTTAGGTTTGTCTGGTTCATCCTCTTCAGGTAATATCCATACTTCGTGGATCTTTGATTCTGGTTGTTCACATCATATGATCTTTGTTGCATCTCTTCTTAGTAATTGTGTCTCCCCTCCTTCTCCTATCACTATTGCTATTGCTAATAGTTCCTCTATGCCTGTCTCCTCTATTGGTTCTATTTCCTCTTTCCATTTGTCTCTTTCTCCTGTATTTTATGTACCTCACCTCTCACTCAGTCTTATTTCTATTAGTCAGTTATCTAATTCCGGTTTTGATGTTGTTTTCTCTTCCTCTCATTGTGTTGTGCAGGATCAGGTCTCCAAGAGGCAGATTTGGATCGGGCGTAGAGTTGGAGAACTATATATCTTGGACAACTTACATGTTCCTTTAGATGTGTCTTCTATTGCATTGTCTTCTTTTTGTTTAAACAATAAGTCTTCTTTATTTTATATTTGGCATTCTAGGTTAGGTCATTTGTTGAGTGATCGTTTGAGGATGTTAGTTCAGTCTGGACATTTAGGCCATTTTCCCATTGCTGATATTTTAGAGTGTCGTGGTTGTAAACTGGCTAAAATGTCTGCTTTTTCATTTAATAAAAGTAGTTATATTTCATCTTCTCCTTTTCAATTGGTTCATATTGATGTTTGGGATCCTTTCCCTATAGTTACCAAGGGAGGTTCGCAATATTATGTGTCTTTTGCGGATGATTACAGTCGGTTTACATGGGTTTATTTGATGACACGAAAATCTGATTATTACAAAATATATTCCAATTTTCACTCCATGATTTGCACTCAGTTTTCCACTACCATTAAAGTTCTCCATTCTGATTTGGGGGGTTAGTATTATTTGTTTGAGTTTGAGGAGTTTTTAGCTACTTATGGTACTATTTATCAGTTTTCTTGTTCAGACACTCCTGCCCAAAATGGTTGAGCTGAACGCAAACATCGCCATCTCCTTGATACAGCTTGTTCTTTGCTACTCTCATCCTTTTTCCCTTCTGTCTTTTGGGAAGCTGTGCTCATTGCTGCATATCTTCTCAATCGGATGCCTACTCTTCTTCTCTCCGGCTCATCTCCGTATGAGCGTCTTCTTGGTGTTACTCCCAATTATTCCCTTTTTTGTGTTTTCGGTTCTACATGCTTTGTGCTCCTTCTTAAACGGGCGCGCTTTAAGCTTAGTTCTCGTTGTGTCCTATGTGTCTTTTTAGGGTATGACATTAATCAGAAAGGTTATCGGTGCTATAATCCTGCCACCAAAAAGCTTTATGTGTCTAGGCATGTCACTTTTTTGGAAAAACTACCCTACTACACTATATCTTCCACCCCTGTCCTTATTACCAAGGATGAATTGGTTCACGTTGACTCATTTCCTTCTGATGTTTCTTCTGATGAGTTTGTTTCTGATCTTGAGATCTCTACCTTGCCTCTTCTAGTACCTCTAATATCTCGCCAGCTCCTCCCTCTCCAGCTCCCTCTTCCCCTGCTCCTTTTCTTGTTTATCAGCGTCGCAAAGCACTTCCGAGCTTGCCTGTCTCTAGCTCTACTGTCCCTCCAGCTGTTTCTTTGGATCCCGCTCCTTTTGCACATCGCTTTCCCGTGCGTGATCGTCGTCCTCCGAACTAGTATGGTTTTGGTAATACATGTTTTTCCCTTTCCTATTAGTCTTTTCTTTTTTGTCTTCATACTTATTTTGAGCCTAGGTCCTATAAGGAAGCTTGTCATGATCCCAATTAGATTGCTGCCATGAATGACGAGTTAACTACTTTGGCTAACACTCAGACTTGTGATTTGGTTCCATTACCTGCTAGCAAGAATGTTGTAGGCTGTAAATGGGTCTAGAAGGTCAAAACCCTTTCTGATGGTTCTTTGGAACGATATAAGGCTCGTTTGGTTGCCCAGGGTTTTTCTCAAGAGTATGGGATTGATTACGATGAGACTTTTGCCCCCATTGCCAAGGTGACTATTGTTCGTACTCTTATCTCTTTTGCTGCTGCCTATCACTGGCCTTTGTTTCAACTCGATGTCAAAAATGCCTTTCTAAAGGGGCATCTTGCAGAAGAAGCGTATATGCGCCCTCCACCGGGTCTCTCACACCCTCTTGGTGTGGTTTGTCGTCTTCGCCGTGCTCTCTATGGTCTTAAGCAGTCTCCTTGTGCTTGGTATGAGTGATTTCAGTCTGTTGCACTTTAGCTTGGGTTTTGCCCTAGTCATCATGATTGTGCTTTATTTGTTCGGCATACTTCTGTTGGCCTTGTTCTTCTTATCTTATATGTGGATGATATGATCATCACTGGCTCTGATTGTAGTACTATTGAGGAGGTTAAGCATCGGTTGTTTCAAGAGTTCGAGATGAAAGATTTGGGGTCTCTTCGGTATTTTCTTGGTATTGAAGTTGCTACTTCTCCTACTGGGTATCTTCTCTCTCAAATTAAGGGGTGGTTTGGAATGGTCTAAATAAGTGTACTTTTTGACTTTTTATGAAATATGAGTTGAATATGGGTTGGGTTTGAAGTGATGTGGTAGAGAGGTGGTGTGACTTAAATAAGATGATGTGACTTAAATATGATAGTGACTTTTTGACTTTTTTAGGAGATGACAAACAAGGCCTAAATATGCCGTGATATTCTTTCTCGTGCCAATCTCACCGATGATAAGATTGTCGACACTCCTGTTGAGTTGCATGCTAAGTTTTGTGCTTTTGATGGTGTTTCTCTTGAGGATCCCACTTTGTATCATGAGTTGGTTGGGTGCTTTGTTTATCTCACCGTTACTCGTTCGGATATCTCCTATGCTGTGCACATTCTCAGTCAGTTTGTTTCTGCTCCTCGTTCCACACACTAGGCTACCTTACACCATACTTTGTGCTACCTTCGGGACACTTTGTTGCAATGTCTGCTGTTATTTGCCTTTTCGGACTTGACTCTTCATGCCTATGCTGACGTTGATTGGGCCGGTGACATCTCTGATCGCAAATCCACTTCTGGTCTTTGTGTTTTCCTCGGTGATTCTCTCATATCTTGGAAGAGTAAGAAACAGTCTATTGTTGCTCGTTCCACTGCTGAGGCTGAGTATCGTGCCATGACTCATGCTACTTTTGAGATCGTTTGGCTTCACTGGCTTCTCTCTGATATGGGTGTCTCTCTTTCTGATCCAATTCTGTTGTATTGTGATAATCAGAGTGCTGTTCAGATTGCTCATAATTCAGTCTTCCATGAGCGGACCAAGCATGTTGAAATTGATTATCACTTTGTTCGACAACATCTTCAGGCTGGCACTATTTCTCTCCCTTTTGTTCTGTCCTCTCTTCAGTTGGCCCATTTTTTTACGAAGACTCACACTGTTACTCGTTTTCGTTTTCTTCTTGGCGAACTTTCGATACTTTCTGCGCTCGCATTCTCATTTTGAGGGGGGGTGTGAAGATTATTGTATTTTATATTAGTCATTTAGGGTAGTTTCGTCTATTAGATTATTAGGGTTTATTTTATTTAGGTTATATATATTGTACTCAGTGACTCATTCGATATATACGAAATAGATGTTCTTTGTTATCAAAAAGAACCCTTTCAATCTAAGCTTTTTATATTAAAATTTTCTCCTTCAACCACTCCTATTACTTTGTCTGAATTTCCTGAAATTGTGATGATTTGTTTTTGCTGTCATATTGGGGGTGCATGTGTGTGCACTAATTATGTTGATTATAAAATCTTCTACTACATGTTGTATTAAAATTATGCTTTCCTTAGTTCTCATAACAATCACGATCTCTTTGAAACTGCTTTACCGTTATCTTTCTATGTCTATCTCCCCTAACATTATGAAGCTTGTATTATGTATTTTTTATTGTTGTTATTCCTCTCCTACCCAGTTAGTTTATTGTAGACAATTGTAGGCATTGTTTGTTAGCTGTCCTTTAATATATTTGTTGTCATGCTGTCCTTTTAGCTTAAAAAAACCCTTCTTTTCAAGTCACTAATTTAAGTCTGTTATCTTGAACTAATTGCTTTAATGGCAATCGTCTAATCTATCTCAAGTATCTTTTCCCTGTCATTGCATCCAAATGTTGATGTGGCATGTCCCTTTAGAGAAGATTTTAGCCATCTCTTGCCCATTTCCTCCATACCCAGTATTGTAAGGCAATGTATGACCTAGTATTTGCTTGCCTTTTATGCTGAATACAACATTCTTCCTTTTGTTGGCTTGAGAGCTACTATTTTATGAATGATACACTTTGCATGAGATGACTAGGTGTTTTTAAACATACTAGCTTCATGGGTAGGTCGGCATATTCTAAGTTATGCATTGCATGTGGTGGGGCTTTATTTGACATTATTTCTTCTTGACTTTAAACTTTAAAAAAATTTAGGGTATGTTTGGATGGCAGGTATTAAAGGGAATGAATGACTGTTCTATGATTCTCGTGTCAATGCAATTCAAGCATTTGGTTTGGTTAGGAATTCACTTTGAGAAAATGATGTAATATCAAATATTGTGGGCCTATCTACTTGTTTTACTTTAAATGGTTCACACTTCTCTAGGAATGTGAGATTTTTATAGGGAATATGGGAAGATTCCCATTTAGTGTGGTAATCTCATTCTAACTTCGGAAGCTAATTAAGAATCACATCCTATTCTTGGACGCACCCAAACAATGGAATGAAGGAATGTGGAATGCAATTTCCTCTCCATTCTTGCCATCCTAGCCTCAAGTATCCTTTACCCAAGGGGTGGAACATTTGGTAAGGGGCCACATCGTAGAAGTGGAGGAATTGGACTTGAAAGGTAGCACTCCATCTAGAGAAATCTCATCGATTGCTTGATGCATGTTGACAGGTTAGACCAAAGATTGTATATACTGGGGGGGAAAAAAAACCAGCGTTGGTTATTAGAGTTCATGGAAGGATTGAAGGATGCTACCAGGCATCGGAGTTGGAGATAGCCTTCAATTGCTAGTATGAATAGTTACCCCTTCATTCATTGCAGTTGACATCTGAAAATTTTGCAGAACATATGACATAGTGATCATACAAGCTTAAAGAATATGAAAGTCATGCAAGTGGTTCAATTTCAAGGGTCACAATTGGACCTTGCATAATTGACTTCTAGTCTTATAAAGTCATTCGCTGCTGGTTGGCTGTACATGTTTCTTCAAATTTTTAGGATTCAAGATGTTTATACCTTCTAGACATGCATTGTAGGGCTGGCCATGGGCAATAATTTAAGTCAGGCTTACTGTTAGCTGTATGGTTGTTAGTTGGATTGAATAGGATTTTAAAGTCAAAGTTCTTAGTTTATAGGGACTTTGTCCTAATAGGTTAGGAGTCCTTAGAAATTTATATGAAGCCATGTTATGCAGTTCATATGGAGTCTTAATATGTTAAGAGTCCTTAAAAATATGCATAAAGCAATGCAATCCTTATAAATCACTGATGACTATATCTTAAAGACTTTTATGAAGCTTTTGAAAGCTCATGTGATGTGTGTGATACTTAAATCACTGACGATTTTTTATTTTTATAATACTCTATACCATTTTGGTCATTCGCCCAGTACATGGTATAATTTAACTGAAATTCATATAAAATCTGTTCTAGCGTTTGTAAAATGGGGACTAGTGAAACTTTTTGCAACATCATAGGTTTTATCTTTAAAAACAGATAATGAACTGTTATGGTAACTTGCTGATGTTAGGTGGGAATCTAGATGTTGAAAGGGTTCGAGAAACTGGGTATTAGTATTGTAAAATAGGATTTATGTTTTTAATGCTGGAGTTACTGTTAAGTTGTAACAAATGGCACTATCTTCTTTCTTGGAGATTTCCATGAACTTGGCAAAAGTTTGAAGTATGTATCCAAATACTTCTCTATGTTATATATACTTGCATTACTAGTCATTAAAATAAAATTTTGTTGCAATAAGCTTCTGCTTTTCTGTGATTTTTCTTAAGTCCACCATTTCTGTTTTTCTCATATCTGTTCAGTTATCAGTATTTATAAGACGAATATTTAAGTATTTTTCCAACTAACATAGATGTGAATATTCGGAGAATGCATATATTTATTCTGCTGCGTGTTTGATTATTTTCTATCTCAAATCTTTCAGGCCTCATTATAATTTGTACCTGCAGAGCATTGCTGTCAATGGCCAATTGTTGCCTATTGATACTGCAGTGTTTGCAACATCAAATACTCGAGGAACAATTGTTGATTCTGGAACAACTTTGTCGTACCTGGTGGAAGAAGCTTATGATCCTTTTGTCAATGCTGTAAGTTCATTTTTGCCGTTTCTTTCTTTAAAATTTATTTTCTTAGGGGAGATACAAAATAAAGGGAAACTGGTGGCATATACTAGTGAAGCCGCATCAAACTTTAAAAAGCCTGTTTAACAGTATTTATGTCTAAGGTACTTAGCCCAGCATTAGCGTCAAAAGGTATGCTAAACAGTAACATAAAGGCCTGAAATCAAGAGAAGAAGATTTCATATCTGGCTTATTAACCTTGATTAACATGGGTTATTTCATTCTGGTGTACAACTACTTCCTCCTCCTCCTCAAGTTGGTATGTACTTGAGCATCTAAACATTTCAGACTATTTTCTTAAATTGACAGCAAAACGACTATTTAAATCCATCTAACTCTAATCATCATACTTTCCTAAATAATGGAATCCACTTCATACACTGCAAGAGGTTTCAATTAGCACAAGATGAATTGTTTGTATTGCCTGGGGGAAAACTACTGAATCTGTGGCAGATTTTCTCATTTCGAAAGAGTGAAAATTTATCCATGTGACATAGTTCAAATCCACTGAGGAAGTATACTTTTTGGGAAGAAATTTCGTAGAATTCACTGCCAAATTAGTTTGAAGCTAATTTGCTTATTGACTTTGCAGATAACTGCTGTTGTTTCCCAATCTGCGGTGCCATTCACTTCAAAAGGAAACCAGTGTTATCGAGTACCCACCAGGTTCACCCAGTGGATGATTTTCTTCTTATTTTTTTGGAACAAATTTTTAAAAATAACTAAGATTACAAGTTTGTTTAGACACCTGAATAGGATCCTTTCTGGTTCTGTGTACAGTATATCTGAGATATTTCCTCCCGTTGCGTTAAACTTTGCTGGTGGTGCATCCATGGTTTTAAGACCAGAAGACTACCTTGTACATTATGGTTTTGTTGTGAGTTCTTGAACTTTCTTCTTTAGTTCAATTCCTCCTTTTGTCTGACTTTTCTGTAATAGACATGAATAAATTCATTTTAATTTTAATTTTTTTTATAGTGAAATATATCATGCTACATATGTTAAATCTTGAATTGAGCAATTTGTTGTGACAGGATGGTGCTGTAATGTGGTGCATTGGCTTTCAGAAAGTTCAGTATCAAGGAATAACTATTTTAGGAGGTTGGTTCCAGGACTAAATATATATTTCAATGGACAAATACTTTGGCAAAGTTGTTTAATCGTAAAGCAACTTCCTCCAACCCTTAATACTCTCATGTTTTGTGAGCAGATTTAGCAGGGTTTTTTTTTGTCATTCCATTGAAGTGTGAGGCTATTTAGTAACTCAAAGTAGTACATGGATTCGAATGACGCTACCTGTTCTAAATGCGGCTACATATTTTGTCAAATTTGATTGGGGTTGCAGCTACTTGCTGCCTCTCGCCAAAGTTTTGTTTATTTTTTGTAAAATTGTACTGCAATAGGTTTCGCCATCTTCCTTTCCTCTTTCTTTTTGTGTGTGTGTGTAGTATTCTCAAGTTTTTGCATGTTTACGTATCTATGTATGCATCTATATACATGGTATTATATATTACAAGCATCATTAACTTGGAAAGAAAATATCTGCAGTTTGACATGTCATTTTGTTCAATATGACCTCTTTCTTCTTTTTGGTCTTTAAGCATTCTTAAGACCAACAAGCTTTTTCTGCAGAAACTCTTCATTCTTGTGCATATGTTCCCCTGTCTCTGTGCGTGTTAAAGTTCTTTCAACATTATATGCTATTAGAATATCTATATATAAATACACTCACGCAAACATGCATATATATATATATATATTTCATTATTCCATCCACCCCCACCCCTAAAAGAAGTCCATCAATGCAAATTGTCATCTTAATTTCACCAATTTTATGTTTCATTTAGCATTGAAGATTGCAAATTATGAAGCACGGTTTACGTGCATTGCCGTACATGCTCACCTTTTATATTGAGAGTAACGAATTAATTGGCTTCTTCGCGCAGATCTTGTTCTCAAAGATAAGATTTTTGTTTATGATCTAGCTCGCCAACGGCTCGGGTGGACTAATTATGATTGTAAGTCCATCAGAACCATCTTTTTTCGGAGGATAAACTAGTCTTATTTGCACCGCCATCACCTATTTGAGTTTCTTTTATTCAGGTTCAACGTCCGTAAATGTCTCCATAACTACTGCCAAAGATGAATTCATCAACGCTGGGCAGTTGAGTGTGAGCATCTCATCAAGAAATGCCCTCTTCAAGTTAATACCAATGAGCATTACTCTCTTTATGCACTTCTCACTGTTCATCGGGTTCCTCTTGTTGTAACTTAAATCTGCTACTTGAAACCCTATTCTTTGCCCCGACATCTATTGGCTTTGCTGATTTTATTTATTAACAATCAGCCAGGCATTGTGGTATTGTTCTGATTCCTGCAAGTAGCTCATTCCTGTGCTCATTCTTTTCCTGACCTCATTCCGGTTAATTAACTGATGAATTCGGTCCCTTATCGTATTCAACTCTGAGTATAAATTCCTCTTTCTCTTGTATAAGGGTCTTGTCTTGAGCACTTCCAGCATTGTAAATTATATCGGTAGTCCATGGTTGAGGTTTGTAGAATGAAATTGCAGGCATTTGGAAGTAAAACACGGCAGTTTGTAGTGATTGCTTTCCAGTTTAGCAAGAATTGTATAAATAAGGTTTAGTTTTGTAAAGCTGGTTTGTTTTTGTAAGACATTTGTAAACTCTTTGTTTTGTTTTGTTTTTTTTTTTGAAGTTTTGCTTTTTCGGCCAAATGCTTTACAAATGTTTTGTAAGACATTTTTAATGCTGGTTTGTTCTTTGCCCAGACATCTATTGGCTTTGCTGATTTTATTTATTAATATTCAGCCACGCATTGTGGTATGGTTCTGATTCCCGCGAGTAGCTCTTTCCTGTGCTCATTCTTTTCCTTACCTCATTCTGGTTAATTAACTGATGAATTGGGTCCCTTATCGTATTCAACTCTGACTATAAATTCCTCTTGCTCTTGTATAAGGGTCTTGTCTCGAGCACTTCCAGCATTGTAAATTATATCGGTAGTCCATGGTTGAGGTTTGTAGAATGAAATTGCAGGCATTTGGAAGTAAAACACGGCAGTTTGTAGCGATTGCTTTCCAGTTTAGCAAGAATTGTACAAATAAGGTTTAGTTTTGTAAAGCCGGTTTGTTTTTGTAATACATTTGTAAACTCTTTGTTTTGTTTTGTTTTTTTTTTTGAAGTTTTGCTTTTTCGGCCAAATGCTTTACAAATGTTTTGAAAGACATTTTTAATGCTGGTTTGTTCTTTGCCCAGACATCTATTGGCTTTGCTGATTTTATTTATTAATATTCAGCCACGCATTGTGGTATGGTTCTGATTCCCGCGAGTAGCTCTTTCCTGTGCTCATTCTTTTCCTAACCTCATTCTGGTTAATTAACTGATGAATTGGGTCCCTTATCGTATTCAACTCTGACTATAAATTCCTCCTTTTCTTGTATAAGGGTCTTGTCTTGAGCACTTCCAGCATTGTTAATTATATCAGTAGTACATGATTGAGGTTTGTAGAATGAAATTGCGGGCATTTGGAGGTAAAACATGGCAGTTTGTAGTGATTGATTTCCAGTTTAGCATGAATTGTATAAATAAGGTTTTAGTTTTTATAGCTGGTTTGTTTTTGTAAGACATTTGTACACTTTTTGTTTTGTTTTGTTTTTTTGAAAGTTTTGCTCTTTGGGTCAAAAATGTAGTACTTACATTACCCAGTTGCATGAAATCCTAAGATATATTCTGTTGAAAAATGATATTTGCAATGAATGATGTCTGTCAAAATTGTATGGAGCCATAAATTCATTTGTTCCTAGTTGTGCTTTTGTATTGCTCTTGTTTTGACATAATTACAGTTAGAACATAATTATATTGGTTTCTTATAGGTTTTAATTTACTTTAACACTAACATTATTTTCATTAATAATTTATTATTAGGTAAATAGAAAATTGATATTGTCATCTTGTTTATATTGAAATATATATATATATATATTTTTGCATGTTCACTCTAATTTTGTCTTCATCTTAACCTCCTAAACCCTAAGCCTACGTATCGCTACTCTACCCCAGCCATCACCAGCTTTGGTCACCATCCTCTCCTGCCCTTCTCCAACTAGAGGGACCCTTTTCATTCATCTTCAGTCCATCCTAGCCACTGCTATCCCTCTCTAGCACATCCCTGCCATCCCTCTAGGGAGAGAAAGAGGGGTTGCACAAGAATGAGATAAAAAGAAGAATAAGAATGCAGGGATGAGGAGGAAAATGCAGGGGCAACAAGATTTGGGGAAGGAAGAAGAGGTGATTGGGAGGAGAGGTAGGGGAGAGGAGATCCCATACCAAAGGTGGAGAAGCAGGGTAGGAGAGGCTAAAGTGGGGGGTGGTGGAAAAGGGTGTGCAAAAGGTTGGAGGGTTGAGAAGGTTGAGAAAGGAGGGTATTGAAAGCGGGAGTGATGAGAGATGGCGAAGAGGCTAGGAAGGGGCTTGTTGGAGGTGGGGGAATGGCGGGGAAGAGTTGAGAGGTTGGGAAAAGAGGTTGTTGAAGATAAAAGGGTGGCGAGAGAGGGTTGCGGGGTTGGAAAGGGGTTACTAGAGGTAAGAGAATGGAAACCAGGATGGTACATCGAAACCAGGAAAAGAGGTTGGGAAAAGAGGTTGGCACATTCTTGCCCCGAGGGCACATTCTAGTACGCGATTAAAATCATTAATTAATCGAAACCAGGATGGTACATCTTTGATGCGTACAAATGCAGAGCTTACCAGTGGTAACAGTATGACTGCACTAGGATATGGTGATACCAGCAAAAGGGTTCCTAAAGAAAGAGCTGGTGTAAGTCAAGCCCCTGACTCTCTTGGACTGGGAAGGAGTGAAATTGTTGAAATAAATTCTCCAAGAGGGCAGAAAAATAATGAGCATAAAGATAACAACTTACAATATGATATGAAAGATTTGGAAAATCCTTGGATAGGAGAAGTGAAAGCTCCACATAAGAAATGCAAGTTTAATTGGCCTAGTTTGTTATTTTTTTTGTTTGTGATCTGTCTTGAGTATCTGATTATGCAAATTGGTCAAGCAGCAAAATGTTTGAGGCAATTTTCCAGATCTTGAAGGAAGAGAATTCATTAGAACTGATAATGTCAAGTTATCAGCTTCTAAATGAGCTAGATAAGGTATTTGATGATAACCCTTTTCTGTTTCTCTGCAGATTTTTTTCATGTTTACATGCCCAAATGTTTTGACACCATTATTTTTTGGTGTTTGTCCATTTAATTGTAGCGTTAGCCTCGTGTGTATACACCTAAAGTGGAATTATCAAAATTACCTTTAGCTAGTAATGCTCCTGAATTAGTTATGGTTGAAGAGGTATCACATTTTGGTTTTGTGTTACAATAATCTGAGCTATACTACTCATCATTACTTGTAGCTTTTATGTCATTTGTGATAGACCTTACTACTCTCTATTGCATGTCAGGCTTGGTCACCATTTACTTTTGGCTCAGATAGTTGCTTCAGCTCAGGTTTGAATCTGTATGTATGTGTAATGTGTGTGTTCGATGAATTTTGATGGTGTGGAGATGGAATTGTGTTGTAGGGGTGGGAAGAAGGCGAAGGGCTTGGAAAAGAGAAGCAAGGGATCAAAGAATATGTCAGGGTTAAGGACAAATAGGACACTGCAGGTTCTTTTTTTGCTCTGATTTTTGTTTATTTATCAAATTCATCCTCTATTTTGTTGCCTAGAACAGAGAGTTCTTTTACTTTTATTTTTTTAATTGTGCTATGAATCAAAGGAGCTAATAAGGTTAAACTTGTTGTGGGATGAGTTTTTCATTTATTAGAAGAACAAGAACAGTTCAAGACATATAGAGCAGTTTGACAGTTTAAAAATTACAATAGGTATTGGTGTAGATGAACCCAAAAATAATTGGGCGTTTGATACATCACAGTTTGACAACATCCTAAAGAGATTGAATTTTTTTTTTTTTTTTGAAATTTATTTACTTGTTTATTTTTGTTTCCTTCTTTAATAATCACCAGGTATAAGAAGAGAGAGAGAGGGAAACTTGTCCATGCATATTCTTCCGAGGATCTTGGAGGAATACTTGTGAGTTACTAACCTTTGTAATTTAGGACCTTCTATTTTCATTTTATAGAGTTGATTGAAAAATTTTCGGAGCTCTTTTCTTCACTCTCATGAATGTATTGTTTAACGGGTTGACAGAGGTTGCATTAATTGTTTTGAGGCTTCTTGTATTCTTCCTACTCTGCATTTAGTGGTCACTTGAACCTAATAATTTATTCACTGACAAATACCCACCATCTGATTCAGGTTTTTCCAGCAGTTATTGGCATTGTTCAGTATACATCATGTCTCTCTCTCTCTTTCGCTTTGTTGCTGTGGGAAGAAAGCTGGTTGTTGTATGTACTTTAGGAACCTGCACATTGATAATGAATATTCTGCTTAGAGGATTTATAGTTGCCCAAAGTAAGCTGCCTCATTTCTATTTTCACTTTTGAGCCTATCTTGAATTAGAATGAGCTTTTAATTTACCAATCTTTATACCACATTGTTGAATATTGCTTGACATTTAGCCAAGTAAGTTGTGGATTCTTTCATGTGATTGTTTATATATTCAATGATCAAAGCACTACATCTACAACCATTCATTTCCTTTTGTGCCCGCAGATGACATTGAGCCATTTATGATATGGGGCTATTATATTTCTCCAGTGATGTATGGACAAAATGCTTTAGTCATTAATGAATTTCTTGACAAAAGATGGAGCGCTGTAAGTTCTCTTCTACTGTTTGCGTAGTATCTTTACATTCTCAAAATTCTGAACATTTTTCTTATTGCAGCCCAATCCAGACCCCCGAATTCATGCACCTACAGTTGCGAAAGTCCTTCTAAAGTCTAGAGGCTTCTTCACGAAAGTATTTCTGAATGGTTGTGGTTTCGTACAGTATAGGTTCTCTAAGTGTTTGATTTTTACAAAGAATGTTACATAAATTTTCAAGCCATGTTGATATATATTACTGTTGTTAATTAGTGAAGTAAGTTGTTATCTTAATTGATGTGTAGTGAAATTTGCAGACATTGATGCATAAATTTTCTATTTGTATATGTATATGTATATTATTCCTTGTTACTCAGTAGACATTGATGCAGCAGATGTTGATAATGAATTGGCAGTTGTGAAGTATGTTGAGGGCATCTACAAGTTCTACAAGTTAACAGAGGTACTATTTTGGCCTTTATTTTTCTATCTTTTTACCTTCTATATCTATCGACATGTTTTGCTCATTAATGGGAATTTATTACGGTAGGATGAGAGTCAAGTTCACAATTACATGGATTCACAGCCTGAAATCAATTCAAAGATGAGATCAATTCTCATAGACTGGTTGACAGAGGTTCACAGGAAGTTTGAACTAATGCTTGAGACCCTTTACCTCACAGTTAACATAGTTGCTCGGTACCTTTCAGTGAATGTTGTCCCAAGGAGGGAGCTTCAGTTGGTCGGCATTAGTTCAATGCTAATTGCTTGCAAGTATAAAGAAATTTGGGCACTAGAGGTAATTGGTGTTCTGTTTTCATCATTTAGAACCATGTCTGATCTGAAAATTGTTTGGTTTCACTGAAATTTGGGCACCAGATTTGATTATATTAAATCAGGAACAAGCAAGGAATATACATGTTCTTATTATAATGGTGATTATATTAAATCTAGAGCAAGCAAGGAACAACCAGTGTATTTAATAAGTGATCAAAATAATTTTAATTTAATCTTAAACCTGGTGCTTTCAAATATTTCAGGAGGTCTGTTGCAGTGGTATCTATATTTATTTAGTATGAAAATAGAACCACTTGAAATAATCATTATTTTATAGACCAAAGAGGGCTTTATATAGCTTTTAACTTTTTATCTGCTAACTTGTGTTTAGGTCAAGAATTCAAACAGAGCATCGGTTATTAGTTATTGAGGTACTCTTTTCTGGATAATGTTGTTACCTGTATATTTTTTTTATTGTTGTACCTTTTCCACACCAAAAGATTCATGTTCTCTACTTTTCCTTCTAAACCCGTATCAAAGATTCACCTTTTCTCTCTTAAAAATCACAGGTGTTCCTCTGTTTTTGATGCCAATATCCACACACCAGGTTTTTCCCATTTAAATCCAAATATATGTGTCTCTTTGTGTTTTTATGTATATATTTTTGTTTGAAGGGTTATTGAGAGTACGGTGTTTTGAATTGCTTTAGTTTCTCAACTTTATGGGGAGATCCTAGAAGAGAATGGTATTGACTTGGCAGAAATGAAGGTTTTGAGGAGGAAAATGGAGGAGATAACAATTGCTGTAAATCAGGGCAGTACAACCACTTAATTTGCCCAATGGTATGCTTTGTTTGTTCCAAAATTTGTTCCTGGAAGCTATATTGTGTTTGTCAATCACTTGCACACATTAAACACAGTAGCAGACTTTTTTTTATACTTTCAAGTTTGTCATTTGCTTCTGAATTGGCTTGAAAACTCAGCTTCTTTTTCCTTTTACGAGAGTAGATGCATCTGTTTATGGGATGACTGGTATGCTTTGTAGGACCGAGCAACAACTCATTCGATTTTTTGCAAACCAAAATCAGTTGGCATAGTGGTGCTTTCTTTAGTAGTCTAACAATGAAAAGATGCTTTCTTTCTGTTTTCGTTTTCTTTGACAATCTCGTCCTTCTATTTTGTGAGCATTCTTACTCAATTAACACATCTACTTTTGCTTCCAATGGGTTCCAGGGTGAGGCCAAGAGTGCCCAGCTGATAGGTCAAGCTATTGCCAATAATCCGACATTTATTACCCCAAGGAAGATTGAAGCTGCTACAGAAATTGCACATACAATCTCAAATTTAGCCAACAAGGTTTTCTTGACTTCAGATGAACTGTTGTTGAACCTTCAGGAGACAAACTTGGGGACCTCCACTGGGCAGAAGTAAACACAGCAGGTTAAAAAACCTCAGTAACTTCCCTCTTTAGTTCTATTTGTGACTCTTCATTTGTGGGAATATCTTATTAAGCTCTATGTAGTGGACATGTTGAATGGTTTTATGTGTTTTTTTCTTTTGTTTTGTTTTTTGAAGTCTTCGGAATGAACGAATATATTTGTCAAACTTTTCATACTGTTCAATCGAGATCCGTGTTCAATAAGGGTTAGATTTTTATGATATGATTTTGGAGCCATCTGGTAACATGGCTTATCACATTTTTAGTTGAGTAATGCTAGAGATTTTAAGAGTTGGATAAAGTAATTGCTATAGAGAATTGGATTATTAGTACTATGGTTAAGATGAAATAAAAATATATACATATATTACATAAATTTTGTATAATATATTCTGTATTCTTTAAGAGTTGCCTCTTTTTGAGTCCTTGACATGCTTTCCTTTTCCATTCAGGTTCTTCAATCGGTGCTTCCGATTGAAGATGAAGAAGTTTTGCTCGGACAATATGATGGCTACACTGATGACCGAACAGTTCCAGACAACTCAAATACTCCCACTTTTGCAACTATGATTCTGCGAATTCACAATGAAAGATGGGAAGGTGTGATGTAAGATATCTTACATGTTCTTCATATTTGTATTTTTAAATTACTGTCACAATTAAGGAAGATAAACCTGTTGATTCTCTGATCAGGAAACTGTTCTTTCGCACATAATTCAGACTTAACCTCTACTCATGTTATTTATTTCTTAAGCATTAGATTAATCAAAATGTAAGCATTAGAAGTTTTGTGGAACACAATGCAAATGCTGTGGCAGCTGGAAGAATCACAGGAATAGATCCTCTAGAACAGATAACCAAGCGTTGCATCCGCATTGTTGAAACTACAGTTGGTGGATGTGCACTGTGCAGGTTGTATTCACAGATTTTATTTTATTTTTCTTTTTGTGATTTATTCATGCATTTGTATAAAACACAACAGAGATTTGTGGGTTCTTTGTAAATCCTCTGATGTGTTCTAGAAATGTTCTATCAATAAACAATTTAAATGCATTTGGCAGGATGTAATTTCATTCCTTTGGCATTTGTTTCTTTTAATTTCTACTGGATTGTTGATGATGAGCTTTTCTGTAGATATTATACTCTCTATTTAATGTTTTTGCCGAAGATAAAACATACACAGGTAGAATGATGTTGGGATTGAACTTATTGGATTTTTTTCTTAAAGGATGTTGTATTGGGTACTATTATAGATAGGAGGGAATAGTAATCTCACAGAAATATATGTCTGTACAAAGTTTTATTTATTATTGCTATTTTACAGGTATATTTTTAAAGTTAAATCTTACAAAATTAGTAGTTCAAAAAAAAAAAAGAAAAAAAATATATTGCGGCGTTTTTCAAAACGCCACTATAGTTATATTTTTTAAATAACAAAAAAGCTATTACGACGCTTTTGAAGCGTCGCTGAATGCCTGTGACGTCATGTTACCGTTCGCTGTCACATTTAGAGGCGTTTTTATAAACGCCGTCTATACTAATTTTGCGACGTTTTTAAAGCGTCATAAACTTATAGCGACGGCCGCGTCCTCGACGTTTGGTGGTAAGCGTCACTAAAGAAATTAGTGGCGTTTTTCATACATATAGCGGCGTTTTTAAAACGCCGCTAAAAGTCATTTTTCCAGCAGTGACAGTACGTTGCTAATAAAGGAACTGTAACACTTGTGCTCTATAACTCAATGGGATGTGTTCAATTTCATTATTTTTGTCATTGAAATCCGTCGGTTGGTGCTGTCACATTTAGAGGCGTTTTTATAAACGCCGTCTATACTAATTTTGCGACGTTTTTAAAGCGTCATAAACTTATAGCGACGGCCGCGTCCTCGACGTTTGGTGGTAAGCGTCACTAAAGAAATTAGTGGCGTTTTTCATACATATAGCGGCGTTTTTAAAACGCCGCTAAAAGTCATTTTTCCAGCAGTGATACTACGTTAATTCTACGGAATACCCTCCATTATAGCGCTCATTTACACAAGATTATTGAAAATACTTGCGATTAGGATTGGCATACACCATGCTCCTGTTCACACGAGTGTTTTGAAAGGCACATGAGGCAGCCTAAAGTCTTATCCATGAATTTTTTAAATCCGTAGTGTGAATCACAAAAAAATGCATGTTTATTTAAGCTGTCTTTTAAACATAAAACAAATGAGTGTTGCATTAAAATATAAAAGTAAATTGACATTTTTTTGATAACTGAGATAAACTTCGATTCCAAGATCAAATAGCATTTGGCATAGAACTTGAATCCTAAATGTAAAACATCTGAACCACTCAAGAACGGCAAGTACAACTTGCTCATATATAATTCAGCTTGTGGGAATGAACGTGATAATACAGTTACTACACAACGGGTCCCAGGTGGAATGGGTCAGACTAATCCACGCTTCTTCAACCGATAACTGAGTGTTTAAGCCCACCAGAGAACCTGCACACAAGTTCAACAGGGGAACAGGGAGTCCCCCAGCGAACCCTTCGATGAGCAAGTTAGAGAGAGAAGTGGAATGTGGAGATATGAATTGGAGATAGAAAACTTAACCTTCTTCTTGTCTTCAACGTCTGCTTATATCCTTTGGTAATCATTTCGCCGTCCCTTCTGACCTGCCACATTGGCCGAAAGTCTATGATGTAGCTTACCTTGTTCAGGGTGAGGGGGTGCTGTTCCGACGGAGAGGTGTTGTCGTAATAAATGCTGTGATGGACTGCATTAATGGCGATGTGCAGTGGCAATAACTTTGCAGATTTTTGTCGGTTAATGTGGCTTGTCCTTTAACTGCCACATGTCTGAATATCATTGGTTCTTTGTGCCATGTTGGCTTCCAGCTGTTCAGGATCTCATCAGTTGGGTTATGTGTTGGGCTCTAAGTGATGAGCTTGGGTTGTTCATAGTGGGCTATGACCTTTGTGGGCCTAACCACGTCAGTAGTCCCCCATTCCCAAGTGCAGCTTTAGCCCAACGAAGGGAATACTAATGGAGAAGATGAGGAGGATCGACCGCGAAGGATAGTCGAGTGAAAGGGCCGACCGCAAAGGGTGGCCGAGTGGGAGGGCCGACCATGGGGAGGACCGACCGCGAAGGGTGGCCGAGTGGGAGGGCCGACCATGAGGAGGACCGACCGCGAAGGGTGACCGAGTGGGAGTGTCGACCATGAGGAGGACCGACCACGAAGGGTGGCCGAGTGGGAGAGCCGACCATGAGGAGGACCGACCGCGAAGGGTGGCCGAGTGGGAGGGTCGACCATGAGGAGGACCGACCGCGAAGGGTGGCCGAGTGGATGGGCCGACAATGAGGAGGACCGACCGTGAAGGTTGAGGTGGGGGGGGCGCGGGGCTCAAGAGGCAGCGTGCCACGTGATGACTTGAAGTGGAAAAGACAGGGTAAGGGGGTGTGGCAGTGAATCATGATCGTACACGTGGCAGCATCTCGTGGGGAGGGAGATTAGGCGTTGGGCCAGAAATGAAACGATAGGTCATGATGGGTGTTGAAAAGACAATTTTGGCGGATGTTTTGAAAATTTTTCAAACTAGTGAAAATTAATTATGACCCTTGGAATACGGGAAAGCCTTGGGCTTTTGGTATTATTCGATTTACCTACTTCTTTGCAAAAAATCAAAACATTCCAAGTGTTAACTCCTTTGTTACTGACGATACACCTCTGCGACATTTTTTGAATTTCCTTGCGCCTGCATCCGAAGCTATTCGTAGACACACCACAGAGATGACCCAAGAAGAAACTAGAATCGCCAGGGTTGATCCACTTGGGAATGACGATACTGTGGAGTTGGTGGAGCAGTATAGGGCAGAGAGGCAAATGGAGAGGGTAGGGGAGCTGGCGGTATGATCTCATTCTTCCACCATGATGGCGGCCCTAACGCCGATAAGCTAGGTGGAGCCAGATCATTGGCATACAAAGGCTGATAAGTCGATCATTACCACGAAAGAGCTGGAGGGGATGCAGGAGAAGTACCAGATCCCCGCAGAGATAGAGTTGATACTGCCGGAATCAAAGGAGAGGGCGTCTGATGCTCGACCGGGGGAGTTCGCCCTGTACGAGGAGGCGCTGAAGGGAGGGTTAAGGCTGCCCCTCCCCCGGATAGTGGCGGATGTACTGAACCAGTTGGAGGTAGCCCCAGGCCAGCTAATGCCCAACGCGTGGAAGATCTTGTTGGCTTGTGCGAGTGTGTGGCCGAAGGCGAACGGGGGGCTGAAATGACAGTGGACGAGTTTTTTGCGTGCTACAAGGCGTCAGGGCAGCAGGAGACTTGGGTTACCCTGCAGGCAGCAGCAGGGAAGGGATTGGTGGCGAGGCTGCCGTCGTCAATCAAGGGGTGAAGGCCGCGGTGGTTCTATATGTCCACCAATGGAGGGGTTAGGGTGCGTACAGTTTGGAAAGGGCCCACCAAATTGATGGAGCCAAGACTAGGGGCAGCAGCGGAGGAAAAGGTGAAGAGGGTGAAGAAATGGCGGGAGAAGGAGGGGGCCAAGTGGGACGAGCTTTTTCAGCCGTCAGCCTTGTTTGCGGCAGGGTTGGGTCCTCAACCGAACAGTGGAGACCTCGACCGAGCAGAATTAGAGGCGAGAAGGAAGGCACAAGAGACGGAGGATAAGACCATCCTCGCCCAAGCCAGTAAGTTCAAGGAGGCGCAAGAAGACCGACCGCATAAGCCGATCGCGCGGGAGAGGATCTGATCGCGCCCAAAATTGCTGGAGGA